AGATAGATAGATAGATAGATAGATAGATAGATAGATAGATAGATAGACCTGCATTGAAAATGTTTTGCCCTTTGCAGGAGTTTCTTTCAGTCTCCAGAATTGTCCCTACCTCCAAATATCTAAAATATGTTATAAGTTTTGGAGCTGTCATTTGAGATATTGTGTAAAAACATAAATTAAATAAAAATAATCAACTAACGTTTCAATTTAGCATTTTCAAATATAATCTGTCAAATCCTTCTCCAAATGATCATGCTTTCCCCCTTTTCTCTATGTTCTCATCCATCAAGTTCTTTCAGATTCTTCTTATGCTTCTGAATCATTTAACTTCAGTAAAATCATAAAATGTTACTGATTCTACACAATATTTAAAATGGTTATGTTTGTTCACTGTTTTCCCAATAATCTGAGCAATAAATTAGAAGTCAAAATACTTTGTACCAGTAATACACACAAAAAAGTGATAACTTAATGGATTGATTAGTGAAGCAGGCTGGACATTGACCTGCGGGGATGATGTATCACTATCTTCTGTGCAGTCTCGTTTGTAGCTCAGCCAAAAACAGGATCCATAAAACTGAAACCCAGCTGACGAGCATTAATGAAAGCTTTAAACATCAGGTTGTAAATTAATTTAATCTAGTTTACCCAAGATCAAAATGTCCCACGCTGCACTGCTAGACAAACACTTTCAAAAGCAGCCTCTCCCTAAAAAAGTTAATTTGTTTCAGATCAGCAAAGACTTGGAAAAAGGTGGAAAGAGCTGAGGAATGAAGAACAACCAAAGTGCTGAGTGATCAGAAAAAAAGGCCTGCAGCCCACATGTCTGTGTCAGGAGCACTGCAATGCTACTTTTGTCAAACAGTCCAAACTGCGCGCCGGGACGGAGTAGTCTCCATCTAAAAGACATCACAGTGGATGTCACGCAAAGCAATCAAGAAGTGGACTTGTCATGGGGAGATCCGAGTTCGGTGCAGATGCTGCATCTGGCTCGCGGAGGGCAATTTACAAAAAATATGACACACTGCAGTGATAAAGTTGTTCCAGCTCCTCGGACGTGAGCTGCACTTTAATGTAGCGGGCAATGGCCGTTCTTAAAGAAGAGTAAATCTGAAACAATGGTGCTGCTCTAGGCTACACTCAAATACTAGTGAAATGTATTCATATGCAAAGTGATGTATTTTTAGGGCTATCAATTTTTTGTCTGTATCAGTCTCATTACCCTGACAGTCATCCTTTAAATCCTGCAATAATGGATTAATGGATCAGAGTAGTTCACACTTATTAATAGCCTGTATTTAATTTAAATTTTAAAGGATGAACGCAAAATTGCAGCTGCTGTAACCTGTAAGCTGGAATCTTCAAGACCCTTTAACAGCGATGGATAGATATTTGATACTTTTTGTCCTCGTAACAATTTAATTTCATGTAAAAAATAATGAATATTGTGTTTTATTCTTTGTTGGAACAATTACATTTTTTTTTTATCCTACTTATATTGTAAATGTGTTTAGCTTTCATGTTTAAATTGTGGACACCACTTTAAACAAACAAAATAAACCTTCATATTTCTTCCATCAATGCTAAAATCCAGTTTGCCACATAACAATTGTAAACAATGAATAATTACCTCTGCTCCTTCCCTCCAGCTCTTTTTCCATGAGTTCTTTCTGAGATGGAAACTCGCTTAGCTTGACCTTGGACATGCTGTCGTTCTGACCTACTGTGCTTATCACCTCCGGATCTTTCTCGTGGGGATCTTCAGTCTCTACATGAATCCATGGGATTTTTCTAATGGAGCATCAACAACAACAACAACAAAAAAACCAATAGACTATCTGTTTTCACTTTTGAAGGTGATTTAAACTCAGCATGTTCTCTAATATATTGTGAGTGGACGCACCTTTTGAATTTGTAGATGAAGAATGCAGCTAAACCAACAATTACCACACTGAGCAGCATCAACATGGCCGACCCACTATGGATGGCGTTGGCATCTATAAGTGGAGCTGAAAAGTTAACACATTTTGATTAGGATACATGTATTTAACCCCCTCTTCCTCTCCCTTTTTAAAGCTACATCTTGTTCAGTAGTCCCTTGCTTCTTTGCGGTTTGACTTTCGCACACTCACTCTTTCGTGGTTATTCAATGTCAGATTGAACATGAGGGGAAAAAAATTGTACATTACACATGATTGTCAACTTTAATATTACTCACGTGATTGGAACAGTATGGGATACTGTACAGTAAAAAGTTAACGGGAAAATAAAATACTTCAGACAGGTGCCACCATTTTGTAGTTTTCTCTCAACAAGCCTATACTGCATCCCCACTTACAACAACTACATCTCCCAGAAGCCAACAGTGCCCCACCCAGAAGACCTGTTGCCTTCTGCTGAAATACGTAGAGAGAAAGTTTTGATCTGATCTGAAAAAGTTTGGTCCTTTACAGTGACTTTGGCGCCCAGCGGATTCAGAGAGCTGCATGGAACCCACCAGGAACCAAACCAGAACCGGACCTCCTGACCCATCGGCAAATCCGGGAGCTGGTAGCTGGCCCATGAGGACTTATGAGCAGGGATGCACTGCTGTAGGTCCGGCGCTCATCCCGATAAAGAGATGAAACAAGTCCCAGTGGGCTCCAGACCGCTCAATCGGACCATCTGTCTCTCGCCGGCCACCCAAAGATACCCCCACGAGGACTTCTGGCAGGGACGTGCCACCATAGGTCTGGCTTCTCTCTGGAGCCCACCGCCACTACCCTGAGCCAGAGAGCCAACCAGGACCAGTAGGGTATGTACGCTGAAACGGAACTAAATCAGAGCAGAATGGAGCCGCTGCTGTTCTGCCGAGCTGGTGAGTAAAATTTAGTAGCTATATATATGTTTTTTTTTTTTTAAATTAGTGGGTTTAAGATATCCTGATGCATGCTCAATAATCCAGGTAGAAAATCTAAAAAAGTTAAATCTGGTCCTCTGGACATTCAAAAAAACAAAACAAAAAAATTTTAGAAACGTTTCGTCTTTCATCCAAAAGACTTCCTCAGTCTGAGGTGCTGTATTCAGCTCAGTCTTATAAATAGCACTGCAAGAGGGTGCTATTTATAAGACTGAGCTGAGTACAGCATCTCAGACTGAGGAAGTCTTTCGGATGAAAGACGAAACAATTCTAGAATTTTTTTGTTTTGTTTTTTTGAATGTCCAGAGGACCAGATTTAACTTTTTTTTAGAGTAGGTTTAAGAGTTTAGAACATTGTGGGCTTCGTGCATGCAGAGTACGTTTGGAAAAACTGAACTGAATCGGACTGGAATCAGAGCGGACCGAGAGCCGCTGCTGTTCTGCCAGCTGGTGAGTAAAATGTAGTAGTTACATATATGTACCATATTTTCCGGCCTATAAGTCATGTTTGTTTTTTTGGTTTTATTTTTGCAAAATTTGCATGCCCTGCGACTTATATGACGAAGCAACGTATTTATGGATTTTTTCCCCCCATTATTATAAACCAATTTTTTGCTGAAATATGACTGATTTTATTCATTCTGACTGAAAAAAAGTAAATGTTTTTAGGTGGTTACTTATTAAATTTAAAAGAAATGCACAGAGACTCATCCCTGCATGCTCCCGCTTCCGCACATCAGGTTTTGAAATGCAGCTGATTTTACTGTCAAAGTGCATTTATTAATCAAAAGTTAGACTGAAACACACTTTACTATGATTTCTAGCAAACAAATAAATGTTTTTAAGTGTTAATCTTGTTAAACTCTTGTTAAAGTCCTCCCATGCATGTTCCCCTGGCTGCTATTTGGCAGCCAATCAATATTTGACTTAACACCGGCCCACATTTCCAGCTTTGGCCCACATTCTCGGGTTGTCAGCGGTGACTCGTAACAAACACGACGCATCAGCGGTGATGCAACATATCAAAGCAACGTATTTATGGATTTTTCCACTTTATTAGACATAATTTGGACTGACGCAACTTATAGGGTGGTGGGACATTTATAGCAGAAAATATGGTATTTTTTTCTCCCATATTTATAAACCAATTTTTGGCAGAGATATGACCATTTGTATTCATTTTGACGTTGAAAATATTGAACACTACCATTTTCAGCCACTAGATGGCACTCGAGTAGTATGGCATGTGGTTGTTTCATGTAATAGGTAAAACTGGTTATTAATGACACAGTCATTTTGCCAAAGCCTGCCAGCTTCATCCAGCTCCGGGATCATGGCTGGAGCAACCATCAAATCACCTTCCTTTCGCTGCGCCGCCCCGGCGAAATACAGCAAATTTGACCACTGAAGTGCATTTATTAAGTAAAAGTTCAATTGAGACACACCTTTGCTATAATGTTAAGCTAACAAATACATGTTTTATGTGCTTGAAGTAGCGTTCCTACTTCCTGATTTCCTCCCTCTGCGTGCTCCCAGAGCACCGAGGCAGAGAATACTTTTGAAATAGAGCTGATTTGTCCATTGAAGTGCATTTATTAAGTAAAAGTTCAACTGAGACACACCTTTACTAGAAAGTTGAGCAAACAAATAATTGTTTTTAGGTGGTTAAATTCTTAAATTTTGAAGAAATACACAACGAGTCGTCCCTCTGCTTGCTCCCGGTTCCGCGAATCGGCTTTTGAAATACAGTTGATTTGACCGTCAAAGTACATTTATTAAGGGAAAGTTAGACTGAGACACACCTTTGCTATAATTTTGAGCAAACAAATAATTGTTTTAAGTGTTAATCTTGTTAAATTCTTGTTAAAGTCCTCCTGTACATGCTCCCGCGGCCGCCATTTGACAGCCAATCGATTTTTGGCACAACACCGGCCCACATTTCTGGGTTGTTAGCTGTGATGCACAACAAACGTGACGCGTCAGCGGTGAAGCATACTAGATGCGACTTATACGGTGAAGCAACGTAATTTTTTTTCCCACTTTATTAGACATATTTGGACTGATGCAACTTAAACTTCCTAGCGGGGCGAGATCCCGCACGCACTTATGATGTGAACGGGTCAGTTGTGACCCGTCTTAAATCAGCCAAAAAATGCCCTCAAAACAGTGTTTTTTTAAGTAGTATTAGAACACATCTCTAAAATAAATTTGTCTTATTATTTTGTTATTTTAATATTATTAACCATAGTAACATTTATAGTGTTAAGGGTAAGTTTTGACCCATGTATATTTACGTCAAAAAAAGGAAGAAACATTTATTTTCAAACATTGAACTTTAATACCAATATAAAATTAAAAGCAGAACAAGTAATAATACAAAATACAGATTCAGAAAGACAAGAAAAAATCAAAATGAAATAAATACTCTTCTAGTTACAAACATGCTCTTTCTAGTTTCTTTCTGTCTTTCATGCATGCGTATGAACTTGCGTATGAACTTGCGTATGAACTTGCGTTGTGTTCAGATGCATGTGTTGCAAAAAGTGGCAGTTTTCGTATGTTCTTTGCATATGTATTTTCTGCAGTCAAGGCACAATGTGTTTGTTTTCCGGTCTTTATTGCTTGGGCACACCTGACACCTCTTTCGTTTTGAAGCAGGTGGAGTTGTGGGTGTGGTCGATGTTGAAGCCCGGCTGCCTGAAGGGCGTGTTGTCACTGATGCACTTTGTGCAGCTGATGATGTGGTTGGAGTGGTGCTCCGGAGCTGTCTGACAACGTTCGCAGTGGCTGGGTCTCGGGGTATCCGTTCCCTTCTCTCAATGTATGGCTTGATCAACAAATTTCCTAGCTCCTGAAGGAACAATCTCCGCTTGTGTTTTTTTTTGGCGTTCCACCCCAAGTCAATCTGGGTCCACAAGACAAATGCATTGTATGCAGACACATCTAGGATGTTGTGAAATACAACCATTGGCCATCTCCTGGTCATTCGCTGGCAAGTGTAGGTGGCAGTCAGCTTGTCCAGGGTGTCCACTCCTCCTTTGTTTTTATTGTAGTCCAGGATGATTTCAGGCTTTTTGTCACTTCTTGTTGACACAGCTGCATCTTTGTGAAGAGTGGACATAAGTATCACACTCCGGTTCTTTTTGGGACAGTATGAAACAACACTGGTGGTTTCTGTAAAAGCAAATTTTGAAGACAGTGGAGCCCTGTCTTTCACCTGCAAATTTTCAAGGGGCAGCTCAGGTTTGTTTTTTCTTATTGTGCCCACCATGGTAAGTTTCCTCTTGAGAAGTTCTTGTCCAAGATCATAGCTGGTGAAGAAATTGTCACACGTGATATTGTGACCCCGCAGTCCAGTAGTCATATCAAGGATTATCCGTTTTCCTTGATTCTTCTCAGGGATGCCAGCTGCAAGTTTGCCTGTGTAAATCTGTAGATTCCAGGCATAGCTGGTTTTCGCATCACAGGCTGCCCAGATTTTTATGCCATATTTGCCTGGCTTACTGGGCATGTATTGCCGGAAGGGGCATTTTCCACGGAAAGGGAGAAGACGCTCATCCACTGTCACCTCTGGTCCTGGGTTGAACATCAGTGGAAGGAGCTTCACCCATCTATCCCAGACGTCTTTGATGGGAGCAAGCTTGTCAGACCGTGCTCTAGTATCTCTGTTGTCAAATCTGAGGACTCTTGAGATCATTTGAAAGGTCTGAAGTGACATTGTTGCGCGGAAAATACTCCTGCCTGTGGACACATCCCAGAGACTAGTAAGGGCCTCAGTGCTGGATCTGTACACGCCAGCGAGAAGAAGAACACCAATAAAAGCATCCAGGCACTCCTCATCAATGTCCTTCCAAGTGTCACCGTGAACTTTTTTCCCTTCGAGGTTTGTCATAGCAATGATGACTTTCTTTAGTGACAATGGCATAAACAAATCAAAGCATGTCTTGATGTCACTTACTCGTGTCACAGCAAACCTTGTAATCCCAGGGGTCATCTTCATAACATTTTCAGCAGCTTCCCTGCCATGTGAAACAGGAGGAATCGCACTCCAAGTGATGTTACCCTTTTTGGATTTATAGGTTTCAGTTACAGGAGCAGCTTCAGCACCTGTGCCCTCCTCATCTGACGAGTCTGTGTACTCTGATTCATATTCAGTAGCATCGTCCTCCTCAGAAACTGGCTCATCTGTGTCACTAGGTGTGTCCTCTGCATCATTTTCAGCAAGGATGTGATCTAGAGCTTCTTGTACTGTGAATCTTCTCTTCATTTTGGTATGCAGCCAAGCTCTAGGTAAAATGGAGTGTCTGTTTCTACATGTCTCTACATGCCCATGTAGAGACACACCCAGGTGGGTGTGTCTATCTAGGTCTGCCTATCAAGATGGGCATGGCTATCCAGGTAGGCTTATCTCTACATGGGCATGCCTCAACATGTCTCTGCATCTACAGCTGGATGAACTTTTTCAGTTTTTGGGAGCAGAGTATGAGGGACTTATCAATAAAAGTAGTACGGATAAATGGGGATGTTTTGGTCAGTGAAGTAGACAAACAGGTAAAAACAGAAGGCCCTAACATATGTATGACAAAGTTAGTGAGGTCACAGTGTGTTTATGATTTCAGTTTTGACACTGATTATTGGTTGATAGTCTTATACCATAACTGGGTCACAAATGACCCCAGCGCGGCAAGTGCGTGTTGTTCTATAAAAAATAAAAATTAAATTTAGTGAAAAAAAAAAATAATTTTTGTTTATTTAAATAAAGGTTCCAGACAAAGTCAAAAATCCTTGATGCAAAAAAAAAATACTTAAAAGACAGTATCATGATTTAAAATTTAAAATGGGTCACTACGGACCCTAACATAGTAGGAAGGTTAAGGTGGTGCGACGTGTACGGCGGAAAATACGGTATGTTGTTAAAATGACATAGGTTTAAGAGTTTAGAATATTGCAAGAGTGTGGGAAGGGTTTCTAAAGCCTTTATACTGTATGTATATATATATATATATATATATATATATATATATATATATATATATAAAAATATATAAGGTGGCTAATTCACTAATTTTCTCTTATTGTGTGTGTGTGTGTGTGTGTGTGTGTGTGTGGGGGGGGGGGTCTGTAATGTAACCCCTGGAATAAATGAGAGACTACTGTTCATTACTTTCTTTACCCCATGTCATGTACCAACTGCAGTTGCAGTTTAAAGCGCTGCTCCTTGCATGTAATCCCCTGAGGGTGTTCAGAGGAGCCTTTAGGATGTCCACTGCTTCTCCCCGGGGTCTGTCACAAGGTAGCAGCTTATGAATGCTGAGATGCAATATTCAAAGTGTTTCCCCTCGCCACCCATCCTTCTCTCCCTCAGAGAGAGGCCTATGAAGTGTATGACCTTTCTGAATCTTTTTAAAGGCAACCCAGACCTTTGCATGCAGACACAAATGAAGACGGATCCATTGGTGGATGAAAAGGGTAAAGCCACGCAGGCTGATCGACACTTTTTTATTTATTTTTTTGCAATATGCTAACGAGCAGGTGACCCTGCCGATTTTCTCAGTGCATACTAAGTGCATTCTTTGTCAGTCACCTCATTGATTGTCAGATTTCGAACAGAGCTACTGTACCACAACCTCAGGTCAAACATTTCCACACTGTGAAGGGTGTTCAAGTCCTGTGATATCCTGAGCTTTATTTCTGTTGCATCAGCTAAAACTCTTTGCCACTAATTTTGAGTGACATTTTGTAGAGTTATAAGCAGAAAAATGGATCTAAAAATTGTAGCGGTTCAAACAAGAAGCTAGAGTTACACAAAGACTTACCCAAAGTTTGATGAGTCATGTACACAATGATGCGAACATTAGCTTTCAGTTCAAACTGGATGAGGCCTTGGTTCAGGGCAGTGGCAAAAATGTCTGATATCTGTGACAAATAAAAAAAAAAACATGTGAGAGAAATAGTAATTAGTAGAATATTTTTGTTTTTTTGTGATTAAGTGTTAAAATAAATACTTGTTTGTTGTAAAGGATGGAGCCTAAGTTTATTTCAAACCCTTTTCTGATACAAGAACAGCCCAAGGTTAGCTTCTTTAGGACATCAGAAAAATGTTTTCACTCAGAAGGATTTGTCTACATATACAATATGTATACATGTACATTTATGTATATTGTCTATACAGTATATAAACATGTATATATATATAAATATATTTATTTATATATATATAGCTCATGAGGCTGAAACAATAATAACAAAAAGTAGCAATACTAAAAATTTTCTATTAATTCCTAAAATGATAAAGAAAATTATTGCCAGTAAATGATAACCAACCAGATTCACATCTTCTTACATCTTCTCTTCTTAAGTATAAAAATGCTGTTTTCAGTCTGTGTCACATCATTTTCTTTATTGTCTCTGTGGGCTACTAGTTAAACTTTCAGTCAACACTACACCCCCCCCCCCCCCCCCCCAACAATAAAAATAAAAATAAAACAACAACTGCAAAACACCACCTGTCATGATCCTGAGCTTTCATGTTTGTTTTTTGAGTTTATTTGTTTGTGTTCTAGGTTTTATATCACATTTTTCTTTTTTTTATCATATGCTACTTTCAGCTTCTGGCTAGCCTATCACTACTTTGAGAGGTTTCATAGGTTTCTGCTTATTTTAAGTTTAAGAACTTAGATTCAGCAAAGTCGTTTAGCTCTCAACATTTATTTTGCATTTTAAGGAAAATACAGTTTTTCTAGTTTCCCTCAGCGCTCCTGATTTCTCAGCACCTCACAGCTGCACTTCATCTGCTCATTAAACTCACCTGTGTCTCATTCCAGTAATAACAAGTCCCTGTTAAATAGCCTCTTTTTCATTTGTTATTTGTCCAATTCTTCAGTCTGTTGCCTGTTTTTTAATCTGTATCTCAACTTGGGTTTTCTGGTCAATGATTTAGTGTTTGCTCGTGTTATTATTTTTTAATACATTTTTGCTTGTTATATTTTATTTTTTGCTTCCACAGCAGTTTAATTTTTTTTTTTTTAATTCAAGTTTGTATCTAGCATTTAGCTCCTCACCTTGGTGCTTTAGGGTTCACATCTACACTTAAATTCAGACACTACTAAGAGCTACTACAAATGAAAGTATACTTTAAAGTACAGTAGTCCCTCGTTTATCTTGGTGGTTCCATTCTCAAGCTACCCGCGATAAGTGAAAAATCGTGAAGTGGGACTAGTAGTACAAGCATAGGCCTTGCAAGCAGTATATGTGAAGGGGATGTTTACCCCACACATTAAAGAAAATGTTCATTTGGACCCCCACACACACATTTACCATGAAACATTAGTTCACTCGGTGCTGTTTTTATTTCTTCGTGAACAAATTTGCTCCACTTGATTAATAGGAGAATACTCAAACCACTAAAAATCCATTCCAGGTTTTCCTGGTTACCTCCAACTCTCCAGCAGCATGCCATGTTTCTCCTCTGCGTCTCCTGCCTCGGCAGGACTTCACAGGTGGAGGAGGTGGAGACACCTCTGCGTTGCTTGTTTGCCAGCTTAGCAAGCTTAGTACGGGCAGTTGTTGACCGGGGGGGGGGGGGTTAGGATCATAGACATGTTAGGATTCTTGAGAGAAGAGGAGCGCTATGTCTTGTTGCCAGCCTCCAGAGCTGCTGCAGCTATCTGTTGCTAGCTGTGGGCCTCAGGCCTCATCTCGGACCCCAGGCCTGCTTCCTGCTCACATGGCTCCCAGCTCGGACTCCCTCAGACGTAGTAACTTACACTATCTCATTAAATCAAGGAAACGTGAATTCAGTTTTACCAATTGTATTAAATCAAGTCAGGAGAAAATTACAGTGCTGGCCTCTCCGATACAATTGACGCACGATCTTGGACCGGAAGGGCCGGATGTCACGTTGCCTTCCAACTATATTGGACCTAGGCTCCCCCTTCTTCTGGGAGCACAACCTTTCAATGTGGATAAGAGGGGCAGACTAAGTGTGATCTCATTGGATCTTATGTGGTCTGACGTGTCAGGAAAAACCATACGGTGCAGAAAAAAACCTCTCCGTGTGATGTGGCGAGCCAATAAAGAAAAAAAAACCTCTATTCCTTGACAAATATTGAATCTCTGGGAGACTAATTTTTTAGAGTTGCTGGCCCTGTTTAAACCGGTTCGAACTGGGTCATAATCTTATTACAATCCGTCGCTGAGCAGATCAAAAACCCATGGTCAGTCTAGATAAACTACTAACAGTCTGTAGCCTCTTAGCTTAGCGCTACGCTAAGTGTGTGATGCTGAAAGACGCTGTGTGTTAAAGTGCATTAAAGTTGAAATGTCTTTAAACCCCACACCTTATTGTCTTCAAGCTTTGTGAGAAACATCCATTAGATGAGTTGAACACAAGTAAAAAAGTCTAGTGGTAATATTGTTTTTTTATTTCCCTATAAACAAAAATAGTGCCAACCTGAGGCTGTGTGTTAAAGTGCATTAAAGTTAAAATGTCTTTGAAACCCGCAGCTGAATTTACACAGACTTGGTGAGAAACATGTTTTAAATGTGTGGAATTAAAGTAAGGAAATGTGACATGTTGCTTTATTGTACACTAGTGACTTTTTTGAACACTGATGGTGTGTGTGTGTGTGTTTGTGTGTGTGTGCGCACATACACACACACCACCATTGTGTCCCCTCCATATTAGATATTTCAGACGCCAATGAATACAAGTAGTAAGTCGTAGTTTATTTTAGTATTATGTATTTTAGGGGAGTGGTGGCGCAGAGGTTATAGAAGGTGGGCCTGTGATCAGCAGATCGTCGGTTCAAGCCCCAGTACCGACAACATCAAAAATGTGGGTGGGGTAGGTGAAGCACCCATACCTGCCCCCACCATCATTCGCCCTACTCTGGGCCCATGAGCAAGGCCCTTAACCCCCATCTGATCCCTAAACAGGTCTCTTGAAAATGAGTTCTCGTGGCTCAGACTGCCTATATAAATAAAGGGTAATATATG